ACCAGCGTTTCCCAATTGGGGTTCCGCAGCATTTTGTCAAATCCAACATGGCCACTGCTACCTGCTGTTCCCGGAAGGTCAGAAACAGCAGAGATTGCGCAATCGCGATCTCATAAGAGATCGTGATATTAAGCCTGCCCTGCCATGTGGAGCTGATAGTTAAAGCTCTGTTATTGTCAGATAGAAAGCTCTGTTAGGTAGGGACATAGAAATCTGTTAGGTAGGGAAATAGAAAGCTCTGTTAGGTAGGGACATAGAAAGCCCTGTTAGGTAGGGACACAGAAAGCCCTGTTAGGTAGGGACATTGAAAGGCTTTGTCAGGGGCATTGAAAGACCCCGGCAGGGGCATTGAAATACTCTTTGAGGGGCATTAAAAGACTCTGTCAGGAGCATTGAAATTCTCTGTCAGGGGCATTGTAATACTCTTTGAGGGGCATTGAAAGACTGTGTCAGTAGCATTGAAAGACTCTCTGAGGGGCATTGAAAGACTATTCGAGAAGCATTGAAAGACTGTCAGGGGCATTGAAAGACTCTGTCAGGGGCATTGAAATTCTCTGCTAGGGACATTAAAAGGCTCTGTCAGGGGCATTGTAATTCTCTGCTAAGGACATTAAAAGGCTCTGTAATGGACATTAAAAGGCTCTGTCAGGGGCATTGTAATTCTCTGCTAGGGACATTGAAAGGCTCTGTAAGGGACATTAAAAGGCTCTGTCAGGGTCATTGAAAGACTGTCAGGGGCATTGTAATTCTCTGCTAGGGACATTAAAAGTCTCTGTCAGGAGCATTGAAAGACTGTCAGGGTCATTGAAAGTCTCTGCTAGGGACATTAAAATTCTCTGTCAGGGGCATTGTAATTCTCTGCTAGGGACATTGAAAGGCTATGTAAGGGACATTAAAAGACTCTGTCATGGGGGTGGAGCTAGCTGCGGACCAGCAAAAATGCATGGTGAATAGCTCCGTATCGAAATAAAGCAAAAACCCGATTAAACGGTGGAAATTGGGCACATTGCTTCCCTAAACCTTACCAACAGACTGAGGAGAGGATAATGGGCAAAAAAAATAAGAAGCCGAGGCCGGACAGAACCCTCCTTAGCCATGACATTGGAGAACTCCTGCGGAACTCGCAAAAGGCTGCATGGGAGAAAATGGCGCTGGGGGAGGAAGAATATTCTGACTCCTCAGGAGACTTCTACCTGGACCTGGGA